CGGGTGGCAAGGCCAGGCTGGGCCCAGCCTCGGAGGACACCTCCCGTGCACCACAGGCCCCGAGGAGAGCAGTCCTGGGCTCCAGTGGCAGCGCACCCTTGACCCTTGACCTAAGCCACGTCCTCGAGCTGCCGAGGACTCAGCTTCTCCACTGGCCTGTCCTCGTCCATGGCCTCCTCTTCCTCGGGCTCCTCGGCGTTCCGGGCCAGGCTGTTGGGCCCGGACACAGTCCCCAGCACTTTGGTGCTGTGCTCCTGCGCCCTGGCTCGGAGCGCCGCAATGCTGTTCTCCCTCAGTTCCTCCTGGGACATGGGCGCCGGGGCGTCGGGGCCCCGCTCCTCCTGCTCCATCTTATCCAGCTTGGGCAGGGCCTGGCGCTCCACCTCGGGCTTCCTCCCCGACTCGGCTGCTGCCTCCAGCGACTTTTTGTGCATTCCTAAAAAGAAGTGTTGGTATTCGGGTTTAGAAAAGCGCCTGGGAAAGCCATCTTGAACTGAAAACGGCAAAGATAGAGAGAGGCCAGAATTAAGGACAAGCAGAAAGCCTTACTTCACACACCACAGTCATGAGTCCCAGGGCTGGGCCAGGGCCTCGGGAGGGCTGCAGACCAGCAACTAGGCGCCTGGCCTGCAGAGGGCTCCTCCCAGCCACGCCCCTGGGCACTGCCCCCCTGCAGCCTGTTCTGTCCCTTCCCAAGCACAGAGCTTGCTCCCCATCCCTCCCTCCTGGGATTCCAGGTCTTAGAACCCCAAGGCAGGCTGGTGCTCTATCAGACAGAGGCCCAGATGGCAGGAGGAGGAAGATGGCAGGTGGAGAAATTTGGGGGGCAAGAAGGCCTTTGGGCAAAGCCAGAATGTGGCCAAAGGGACCTAGGGGTCCCCCAGCCCCCAAGAGGGGCCGTTCCATTCATCACAAGCGCACCTCCCACAGGTAAGAAAGGGGTACAGACCCTGGGGCACCAGTCACACCCCCCTCACAGTACAAAAGAACCCACAGTCAGGGACCTGTCCAGGATGGATGTCCTAGGCACCGTGGGTGGATGCAAGAGACACCAAGTCCTGGGCCCAGCCCACACGGAGCCCCCAAGGGAGCTGGGGGACCTGCTTTGGAGGCCTCCCTTCTGCTCGGCTGCTGTGCCAGGTCCCTTTGCTCCAGGCTCCGTCCCCTCCCCTCCTAGGGGAGCCCACTCTCCTTGCCTCGGGGGCAGGGCCCCAAGGAGGGTGTGGGCTCTTACCGAGCAGCCACGGGGCACAGGAGTCCATGATGCCATCCTTGGCGGACTTGAGGATGGACTCGGGCAGGGGGATGGAGTGCCGCACCATGGCCCCATACAGCCCGTACTCCGCCATGACGCTGCTCCGGCCCCAGCACTTCTCTCGCTTCCTCCACTTGGCTCTGCGGTTCTGGAACCAGACCTGCAGGTGTAGACCAACAGGTCAGGGGTGTGCTCTGAGGGGCCCTGGGCCCCGGCCTCCCACCCCGCCTCCATGTCTATCTGGAGTTAAGGTCCCCACCCCTTCCGTGGCCAATGGCCCCATACTCTGGGGACTGCTGGTTTCTCCAGGTGGGTGTCCTTACTCAAGCCCCATGGTACCCAGGGGGTTCTTCCAGGCTCAGGGGTATCCCCCAGAATGAGGACCCAAGTCCTGTGAGAGTCTGATGGGTGAAATGGGTCTCTTGTTTTTTGTTGTTGTTTTTTAGTGGGATAAGGACGCCTCTAGGTCAGGGCCCTGCAGGTGAGCAGTGCCCAATGTGGTCCTCGGTTTGCAGCTGAGAAGCCCGACCCAGGTAGTTCTTTGTGCTCAGACCTTAGGGCATAAAGAGAATGTCTTTCTGACTTGCAGAGGGACACGTTCCTTCCCAGGGGCTGGACTAGCCCTGTTCAGAGCTCCCTCCCTCTCCCCCGAAGGCTTCCAGGGAGCATGAAGGTTCCATGAAGCCTGGGAACCGAGCAGAGGAGGGGGTGCTCCTGGAAGGCCTGCGTCAGCGCCCTCCTGGGCCCAGTCCTGAGCTTGCCATCCACAGGGCCCTCCATTCGCCTGCTCTCCCGTTACCAACCCAACTCGGCATCATATTTGAGGGATTGGGCGGCCATCCCTCCGTCAGGGAAGAAAGACGAAATTCTCAGTGGTGGGAGAAGCAGATGGGAGTGGGCACCTAGGAAAGTGTGGTGGGGCACGCTAGGGAAGGTTTTATTTCTGGTCCCCAAACCGGTGCAGAGTCTGAATGAGGGGCGGTTGTCCTGGGGGTGCCTGGAGCTCTCCCGCCCTGGAGGGGCTGCCATGCTTGGGGGAGGGGAGATTCCTTGTCTCCCAAACCAGCTTTCCCGAGACTTCCAGCCACTGACAGGAGCCAGAACCAGAACCAGGGGCCGGCCACTGTTCCTCCAGTAGCTGGGGGGCGCAGGCAGGACCCCAGGCCCGGGGGCCCCTCTTGTTCCTTCACAGCTCCTTGGGCTCTGTCGCCCCAGCGCAGCAAGGAGCTCTGGGAAGTGGGGAGAAGAGGGGAGGGCAGGGCGGATTCCAGAAACCTATTAGTTTCCGCTGCGATTTCCATTCCCTCGCCTCGCCGGTCCCCCCTTCCCTCCGGGCCCCCTCCCGCCCTCGGCAGCGGAGGTTTCAGCTTTTGATGAAAAATCGCTCCAGCTCTATTCAGGAGGCGGCAAAAGAAGAGTCACCCCCAGGGGCAGCCCTGGGCTGATTGAAAAATAAGTTAATTTCAGTTTGAATCGATGGGCCTCAGGCACTGAAATATCACGGGAAATTAAAGCGGCTGCTCCCCCGGGGGCCGCGGCATTGACCCGCACTAATTAATGCTGGGGAGGCCGCACGAGCCGCGCTGCGAGCCGCTCCCCCTCCCCGGGGGACCCCAAACACTTCTCATTTAACTAATTAGACGGGGAAAATTGGGTGTTAATTTGTTTAGGCTTTTTCCCCTTCTTCCCCCGCAGCTCCCTCCCCGGCTCCGCCCCGCGCGGGGGCGCGGGAAATGAATGCGGGGCTCGCCGGCAGATGGCTGCCCCGGTCACTCTGCAATCTTCTCAGACTTGATTGCTTGATTAGGTCGTTAGCACATTAAAAAAAAAAATTGCTTGCCGTCTGGCGCTGGCGTGATGAGTGGGACGCGCGGCAGCGCCTGGGTAATTTATCTTTTTATACGGCAAAGAATTTGATTTCAATCTGCAGATATATGGGGCGCCTTTGACACCTGTTTAACATCGCGCCGCTGACAGCTTAACCCTTTGCTGCCTCGGCCGCTGGGAGACCCCAGCCCGGCCTGCGGGGCTCGGCGTCGGTGCGCCCCCGCGGTTCCCGCCGCCGCCGCCAGGTGGCGGAGTGAGCGCCCCGATGGCCCGCGGCGGCCCGGAGTCTGCGGCTGAGCGCGGCCGGCCGTGTCCGGTAGGGGGCGCCCCAGACGCCTCGCCTCGCATGCCCGCTTCCCCCAAACAGCCTGCGGTCCCAGACACGCTGTGAAGGATTGCAGAAAGACCGCACCGTCCACGCACTTTAAGTTGACCCGAATGTGTGTTTCTTCATTTGTAAATAACTGGAATCTCTGAAAATGGAAAAGACGCGGCCTCGACGTCCCCTGCCATTCCACCTCGACACTGGCCAGCTCTGTTAGAAAACAATCGCTGGTCCCACTCAGGGTGGGTCGCGCCGTTGATACCATTGGCTTTGGCACCTGCCCATCTGCTGGGGCCCTCCTGGTGGGCTGGAAGCAACGTGCAGGGCCTCCCCCTGGTCCTGACCCATACAGCCCTGAGCGACACCTGCCAAGGACAGGGTTTCTGTCATTTGAAGGCCACTCGATGGCTGTGCTCTGTGCACTAAAGCTCAGACAGCGGTGAGCAATGAGCAGCGCTGACTGGCCAGGGTCCTGGCTTAGCTCTATGCTGTTTACACTTCCCCCAGCACCGCCTGCAGGCTCTGCCCACTGTAGGCCCTACCTAGGGCCTGCAATTTGCCCGAGACCCCTGTCCTGTCCCATCTTCCTTCCATTACACTTGGTCACCCTCTCCAAGTACCCACTTGTCTCAAGCTGCCTTCTCCCACAGAGGAAAAATCCACATACAGGGATAAGCTACTTCTGGTTCCATCCACCTCTCAGAGAAGATAGCAGAGAATGAGCCCCTGGGTGATGGAATTCAGGCGCCTCGTCTGACCACTTGGGAGGGCTCTCTTTATGAATCTAAGTAAGCCACCTGCTTCCTGATCAGGAGATGACCTTCCTGCATTATACAACAAGGCCACACCCCTTAACTGGAACGTGTGGGGCCAGACTCCAGAACGTTTTGGATTTTCAAAATAATGGGTAATGCATAGACCACATGTTACATAACACCCTGCAGCAGCAGCACCACCACCATAGTCAGACTCATCAACTCTGATTTCTGCACTAAAGCCTTATATTCACACTAAGAGAGAGAAATAGAAGGTCCAGTCTGGTGTTTGTCACTAATGAGTTTCGATTCCAACTTTACGACAGAACTGTTCATTTCCAGCAGTTTGTGTACAGATTCTGGAGAAAGGCCTGTGGGGTATAGAAAGGCAGATTCCCTCCCTGAGAGTGGGTGCCTGGGAAGGCACATTGCCTTGGCTTCCTCGGGATCCCATGAGCATCAGTGCTGGAGATGGTGGCTGGCTTTCAAGTGAACACAGCATCATTACTAAAGCAAGCAGTGCAGCCCTAGCCGGTTTGGTTCAGTGGAGAAAGTGTGAGCCTGCGGACCAAAGGGTCCTGGGTTTGATTTGGGTCAAGGGCACGTACCTCGGTTGCAGGCTCCTCCCCAGCCAGGGCCCTGGTCAGGGCGCGTGCAGGAGGCAACTAGTCGATGTGTTTCTCTCACATCGTTATTTCTCTCTGTCTTTCCCTCTCTCTTCCACTCTCTCTAAAAATCGATGGAAAAATATTTTCAGGTGAGGATTAAAAAAAAAAAGAAGGGGGTGCAAACTTGGGATTCAGATCATATCTGGGGCCTCTAAAAGAATCATTTTCCTGGGTCTCCTAATTTGGGGAAATGAATAACTGCTCTGCAGATCAGACTTTGCCTACACACTCCCAGGGGAGTTGGTGCCAGCTGGCCGTCAAACCAGGAATCATCCGGACCTTGGGTTATGAGCTCCTGGAATGCCTGGCTCTCTCTGCAAAGACCAGATGCTGCTCCAATTTATGGAGGAACCTGAACAGCCAAAACAATTTCTTTTAAGGACAACTGGCAGGGAAGCTGTGGCAATGATGCCTTGGAGGGAAGTGGACAAGGGGTTAGAATTAACCCTAACCACTCTTCATATTTGTCTTTCTCTTCCTTTCCTGGAAGCAACCAGCATGTGTTCATGGGACTGAAAAATGTGCAAGAAGCATTGAAGTCAGCCAGTCCTGCACTGGACCTCCCAGCTCTGACAAAAATTGCTGCGTGATCTTGGGCAAGTTACTTGCCTTCTCTCAGTCTCAACTGCTTCAGACATAAAATAAGAATACCTACTTCTCAGGGTCGTTTTGAGGATTAATGAAATAAGTGAAAGCACCTAAAAGCAGTACTTGTCACACAGAAGGCGCTCAATAAATGCTACTTATTATTTCAGGGGAAGTGCAGAAAGTCTGGGAGTCTCTGCCCAGGGGCAGGGTCCATCAGTGGCATTGCCTGCCCCTCTGGCCTCCTCCACATGCCCTTTAGTAAGGCTGGACTGACAAATAATAAGAACAACAACAACTAGGGGTGTGTGTGGGGGAGGGGTGGGCAAATGCCCCTGCAACGCTCCCTACATTGCTCCCTTGAGGCCCAAAATGCAAGCGAACACCTTGCAGAGCCCTGCCAGGTGCTGTGATCAGAAGCTAGAAAACCAAGGCTGGAGAACCCTGCTCTGCCTCCAACTTTGTGACCTTGGGTGCATTTCTTAACCTTTCTGACTTCCAGGTCCTCATCTGCCTGTGATATCCTCGCAGGTTTGTTGTAAAAAATCGAACAAAATAGTGCTTGGGAAATGCCTGGCACACAGTAAGAACCAACACACTCTGGCTGGATGCTGGGTGAATTCTGTAGGTAAATGTGCAATGAGATGAGGCTTTGCTTTCCAGCAAGTGGCCAGCGACACTTTTCACATAAAGCCAGGCTCTCCCATCTCGCACCTCTGATTCCTTCGCAGCATTTGGGCCCTTTTTCCTATTTGGTCTCTTGGTCCCAACAGGCCCCAAATATTCCTTCTGTCCCACTCCCACTCACTCTCCTTGACTTTCCACTTTCTAAAAGAGACTGCTCCTCCTCATGGGAGTTGGGCCCAGGACTCTTCAGGAAAACCTCCAACAAGGAGCAGAGCCCTGCCTTCCCCTTGAGGACTCTGAGCTCCCGAGTAGGGACCCAAAGGTGACACCAGGGGTCACCAGGTTTGGGGTCCTGAGCAAAGATGAGTCGGGA